TTGTGTGGGATGGAGGAATAAACTATCCAGCAAACGCTATTAGATTGCACCCAATCTAGGGGACCCCGGATCCAGGAGGGCTGCGAAAGAACAAGGATCTTCTCGATCGATGGGGGGAGGAGACCCGACATCTGCCGAGGAATCAGCCCTGGGGCGAAAGGGATATAGTTCTGTGATCAGAGGCGGATACAGAATTTTTTCTTGGGGGGGCCAAAGCCCCTGTCTCGGTAGGGGCGAACCGCCGCTGATGCTGGGACTCAACATGGAGCCCTATAGGCCGGGAAGAGCTCTTGGGGGGCATGTCCGAAGTCCCCCAACTCGAGAGGTGAGTCGAGAGTTCGCGACTTGAAGCATCCCTCACGGGGACTATTGTGTTTAGCAGCCTCTTCGGTAATATTGGTCTTCCTGTCCGCGGATTGCGGTGGAAAATAAGTCTTCAGAAACTGTTGTATAACTCTTAGCATCGCCTTAGCACAGGAGCCCGACGGATCACTACTCAACTCGTAGGAGCCTAACAATTTTCGACATATCGCACGAGATCTCGAAGATCAAAGATGACAGCCCGTCAGCTCTGCCGAATGAGCACGAATCGTCCTGTAAGCAAGACGATCTCTGTTTTCGGCTCGGTGACTCTCACGAGACTCACATGGCTCACAAGGACACTGCTCCGTCGTTATCTACCGTAACTCTTTATCCGCAGTTGCGTCACGGTACACGGCGCTCTCCTGGAGAAACTCGTTCGACAGTGAGATGATCTTCCTTGAAGCATGAAGGGCCCAATCCAGTTTCTGTCCCTGCACACAAGTTCTGTGGAAGCATGGATCTGAGTATGAATGCAAAGCCCCTCTAATGTAAGTGTTATCGCATCTTCCTCGTCATCGCAAGCAGATCTCCCGATCGAATGATCATTCAGACCATGCAGAAACAACTCCCGAATTTTTTATATATACTTTTATACAAAGAGTCAATAATCAAACAACGACGTATGGCTCAAAGGAAGAATCTCCGTCTAGATGTTTCCATTTCATGACGCTTCAAGATCCACTCGTATTCGCCATACTTGGAGTCGAAAGTTCCTTTCTGAAGACTTTGTAGTTTCAACGTGAAGCGTGGTCCGATCTCCTGTAGTCGACATTTTTGACCGTCGGAGTCGAATTCGTACCGGTGATGCCTGGAGAAAAAGAAATCGAGCCATGATGCTCTGGAAACGCAGCGATCTAATTCATATTCTCATGGAATCTCGATGATGATGATGATGCCTCAGGAGCAAATCCTTGAGGACTTCGTACCTGAAGAAGATGAAATCTCTCTGATTGTGGAACGTCACGACTCTCCGACCGTGGAACTCTGGATTGTAGTGGAAGAGGCATGCCAACATCCTTGAGACGCTGTGTCCTAATCGAGTTCCGAAGTTGTTCAGCAGGACCTCGGGCCGATGCGAAGTGAATTGAGCTGCGTGTTTGATATCGGTCATGGGCTTCACGGAGCTTATTTTGTAGTACGCGGTAGGGCCTTCGGGGAGGTGTATCACAAGCAGCCCACTGGGAGCGCCACGATGTTCGTTCACAACTGGAAATCACATCCTCGTTGAATACAGAGAATCGGTAACTGTTGTCCGAAATATGAATCGAGGACTCCGGAAAGATGCCGACATATTAGTTCTCACGAATCCAACGCTCTAATTTCAACACACCTAAGAAGTCGGTGAAGCCTCTCTCGATCGCTTTCGGTATCGTTTTCTTCAGGTGGGCGTAGTTTCGGTATTTGAATTCCGCGTTCGGTAGAACGAGCTCGAGCTCTCGGCAGAACTTTATTGTTTTCCCTCTTGGTTTATCAACTGTTGTGAGGAGAATCTTTGGAACGTATTCCTTGTTGAAATACGAAGCGAACTCGTCAGTTTGATCGTCGAGCTCCACCTCCTCGTCTCCGGCTTCCACCACGGTTTCATCGTATTCCCTCGTGTTCTCCAAGGTTCTCGGTATCTGCTTCGGCGGAGCCTGGAATTAAATTGCATTCGTACCATTGAGGGTATTAGGAAAGGTATCCGGTATAGTACCCTGCTCGAGAATCATGGGAGAATCTCCCCTGATTGCACCGATGGCTGCATTCAGTTCTCTCCTCCGTAAAAATGCTCCGCCCTCGAATCAAGTTGAGCGATCTTCCAACGAGATCGGAATGCATTCTGGATAAAATTAGACCCGCACCGTGAGGACCAATTGAGCTATCACTCGTCGAGGGGTCCCTGACGGGCACGCCTAATGAATGAGAATTCCAAATCAACTCTATACGAGATCAATGCTCCCCTAAACCCATTAGAACCTTCATACATTTCTGTTCGAGAATTCTCTCAATGGAGCACGGGTGTTTGGCAGATCCTTAATCCATCAGGACGCCCAATGCATTCTCTGATTCCGACCCAATCAAGAGTCAGGAAAAATACAGTTTACGCATTTCGTCAAAGATAGACTTCTTTAGGCTTACTTCTTTACCTTAAGGTTTTATCTATAAAATAGACTCCTAGATTTATTTCAATACTGAAAGGACGCTTGGTCCCTCAGCGCACCACGGCGGAGGGATCCGGACTCATCAGTTCAGAGTCATCCTAGGGTGTCAGGCATTAACCACTGCCTCGATACCAGCGGATATGCCGCTTCGCTCAGTACCCATTCGCGGTTTGCCGCAATGAAAGATTCATTTGTCTGGTTAGAAACTCGAGAGGACTGTGATGAGGCATTTCGGGGCGATTCGAGAAACGAAAAGGATGATAGGACGTCCCGTACGAATCTCCCGCAGTATCATAGCGATTCCGAGGAGGAAGGCATAAGATCCGCACAAATTGATTCACTAATGTAAACTTGAGTTCTCGTTGTGCCGACAGGTGACTCTCGAGTCTCGATCAGAGCGCTCCGTGGATGCGCGTATCACCCGCCCGCATAGAGAAAATTCCACCCTCCTCCGTCTCTTACTTTGCCATCGCCCACAACGACCGCCTCTCGCGCTCCGGAGATGGCATCCGCCAAAATATCAACAGAGCCCGATCTGGCGGCCTGCGATATAGAGACTGACGAAGCGGGCTCTGACCTAAGCTCAAAAATGCAGGTGAGATTTTCGAATTACGTGATTACCGCATGCATTCAGAGTGCCATAGTGTCCTCATTAACGTCGTCTATGGCATCATGTCAGCCGGGATGGCACATGCTCACATCGGAAGTTCACTCATGCTTCCAAAGGGTGCGCGTAACCGCATACCGCGCATCAGCTACCGGTCAATCCGCGAATGATTGAGTTTAGTGCTTCATTGGCAGTTGTACCGATTATGCCGAGTGAACAGACAGATAGCAAGTGACCGGTACATGTACTGCGCTAGAATAGACAACTTCCAGTCTGTAAGCTAAGCGACTGAGGCCTATCCTTGCTCGGTGTGAATAAGAAAGAATCATAGAGCGAACCTCAATTATGCATGATTCGCATAGAACCCGGGCCTACGTGAGAACAGCGGTTGGGAATCAATTCCTCGGACGGTGGGCAACACGTCAGCAATCTCGAGTTTAGAGTCTACCGGCACCGGCCTTCAAGACATTCCGGATATTCAAGAATCATTGTTCGAATCGGAATTTCACTTATGCTTCCCGAGGCTGCGCGTAACCGCATACCGCGCATTAGCTACCGGTCAATCCGCGAATGATTGAGTTTAGTGCTTCATTGGCGGTCGTAGCGATTATGCTGAGTGAACGGACAGTTCGCGAGTGACCGGTAAATGTACTGCGATAGAATATACAACTCCCTGTCCGTGAGCCAAGCGACTGAGACCCATCCTGCTCCGTGTGAATAGGAGAGATCCATGGATCGAACTTCAATTATTCGCGTAAAACCCAGGCCTACGTGAGAAAAGCGGTTGGGAATCAATCCCTGGGACGGTGGGCAACACGTCAGCAATCTCGAATTTTGAGTCTACCGGCCTTCAAGATATTCAATAATCATTGCTGGCGGTTCTAAGAATTAGGGTATCCTATAGAACTCGAGTTCTGACGATTTCGCGCCGAGTTATGGATAAGATCTCGCTGGACTACACGAGACATTTCGACTTCGTCGACATCTATCGGAGGGGGCTGATCATCTCATTGTCATTGTATGATGTCTGAACGCCCGGGAGGGTTCCCCTCCCACTTCCGCTCAGTTGTAGCTGTTGTTCTTGTCGATCACGGGTTATTGAGGCATCGTCATCGATGCATCGTTGCGTATGTGGCAACGCCCTGCGTGAAAAGAAAATCAAGAACATCATTCTCCTTTTCAGAATGAAAAGACGATCAACTGCTCCGTTCACGGACCCATGAGCTTCTCCGTGGTCGCGATGGCAATTATCGATACGATGGAGTTCCAGCGATTGAGGGAGATCTCTCAGCTTGGCATAGCTGAGTTCGTTTTCCCGGGTGGCAGCCAGACGAGATTCGAACACTCTCTGGGCACGTCGCACCTCGGGAAAACCTTCATCTCAGCCATCGCACGGAGACAGCCAGAGCTGGGAATTTCGACCCGTGAGCTGCTATGCGTTGAGCTCGCAGGTCTATGTCACGACCTGGGGCACGGTCCCTTCTCACATCTTTGGGAACAGTTCTACGAGCGTTGTTGCGCACACAACGGGGTGCCATCGGAGTGGCACCACGAACATACATCCGTGACAATCCTCCGGTATCTTCTGGAGAAGAATCGGATCCTCGAACGTTTCCCCAACGAGATCAACTACGAGGATGTGCGCATGATCGAGCATATGATTCTCGGCGAGCCGCTCGTGGATTCCCGCCGGCGTTTCCTTTACCAGATCATCAACAATCCGGACTCCGGCCTCGACGTAGACAAATGGGATTATTTTTACCGAGACGCGCAGAACCTAGGGGTCAAGATCGACTTTGAATACAAGCACATACTCCGGGAAATTGCCGTTCTGGAGCACGACGGTCAGCTGCAAGTTTGCTTCCGCGACAAGAGCTACGAGCTCATATTCGACGCATTCGATAATCGCATGAAGCTCCACAAAAAAGCCTATCAGCATCCGAAGAGCAGGATAATAGAAGAGATGATCATCGAGTCTCTCATTCAATGGGAACGGAGCGGCCGCGAAAGTTTCTGGAATACCACCAGGGCCATCGCTTGCGCCGAGCCGACCCCGGAAAGCTTGGAAAATTTCGTCCAGCTCACAGAGCTCAAAGTCCGGCTCGCTCTGAAAACCATTCCGCTCTATCGAGCGATCCTTGCGCGGTCGACAGATCCTCTCATGTACAAATACGCCGGGACAGTCAATCACGAGGAACTCATTCGAGAACGTTTCGATGAAATCCTCCACCGGTACGGAATCTCGTTCTCTGAGGTTGCGGTGTTGAAAGTTAATGTCCATATGGGTAAGCATAGTCACAATCCTATGGATTTCGTTCTGTTCTTCAAGAAAGGATCGAAGCAAGCTGAGAAACTACGATCTCCTGACGGGATTCGGGTCACTGAGAAGGCATTGGTTGTTGCGCTGCGCGAACACGACCCGGAGAAGCTCATTAGGCTCAGAAGTTGTATCGACGAATATTGTATCAGATTTACGGCTCGGAACGAGTATTGAGGAGAAACTGCGTTCCTTGTGATATTCCCAAATTCATTATATATGTTAATCGTTTAATATAATCTACCGTGAGAAACTACGCCGAGTTGTAAGGCTAAACTCTCTGCCTCGCCAATCTATTCAGATGGGGTAACGGATGTACAGCAGAGATTGTTTGAAAGTGAATGTCAGAAATTAATAGGCTTTCAACAAAAGGTTCTCAATACCTCTGTTCTCTTTACGACGGATGATTTCAGGAAAGAGTCCAAGCGGGCTCCTGAATCGTGCTGTTTTCCCCGCATGGGAGCCCTAGGCCTCCCATCCCCATCCCATCCCACCTTCGCAGTGAGGAGGGGAGACTGCCCCCCATTAACATATCTCCGCCGAGCGCCCCCCCCCCCATCCGAAACCCCCATTGGTCCTATAGCGATCCTGAACAACCCCCCTTTGCACTCTCGAGACCCTAACTAGACTTACATTCTCTCCGAGAGCCTTGAGTTCCTTCACTCGTTTCAGACGAGCTTCTCGTTTTGCCTGCAAGGAGAGTGCTGAACTTATCACACGGGGGTCTCTGCCGACTGAGGCTACTTTAGATGCTGCAACAACGAGGGTCTGCTCCGGCTCCAGAGTCCCCGCTCGATTTCTCGCCCATTAGATGCAAGTTTCATCGATAAAAGTGAATCGGATTCTCTAGGTTTTAGAATTCCGGAGCCAAGTCGGCAGCGAGGCATGTTCTCGTTCATGTTGAATGAAAGTTGCGCACAAACCTTGTTCTTCTCCTTCTTTAGCTTGAAGTAGATTTCTTGTCGTTTGGCTTTGTTTTTGATCTCAGAAATATTTTTCACCATCTGCAGAGCGGGATTCGGACCCGGTCCCTTCCAGTTCTTGGGGGGCTCATCTTCGTCTTTCTTCTTGATCCGCCTCCCCATCCTTCTTCCCGGTGCTTTTCGTTCCTCTGATGGGAAATTTATAGTAGGCAGCCTCCAGGTACTCGTTCCGTTCACTTGTCACACAAGTCTCAAGCACTGACGATCGAAGTCGCACCAACTGCACGTGCTCAGCTTTGAGAATCAAAACAACGAACTCTCCGCCAGGATCTTTAGGCAGCGGAAACCTGCCGATTCCGACGGACGGGTCGGACTGCTCCGACCATGGGACTGCTGTATCCGCGAAAGGCGGCGAGGGCCAGCTCGACGCGGGTTTTGGGTCTCCGAAAATTGTAGGGATGAGGGGCTCTTCTGGGAGGACAATCGTGCGGATGCTATCCGAAAAGCACAGAGCCACACACACACAAGCACACAGCTTGGTGTTTAAGGATAAACACCAAGAATCCTCTGGAACTCTGGACGAGGAAGCCGAGAATTATCGGAGATCAGAAGCATAACAAGATTCAACTCCGGTATTTACTGCGTTAGGAAGATCAAGAATAAATAAGGACTCTTTACTCCGGAAACCTTCGGCATGAGCAGCCCTAGATCTATCTGAGGGATGGGCGAGGGAAGAGCCCGGAGGAAGCTTGGGAAAGATCTTCAGAACACGAGCGAGGCAGCGCTTCAATGGAAGTAGCTGGATACTCGGGAAAAAAGACGGAGTGACCGCGGGGCAGAACGGTCGGCTCTCGCACACGGACGAGGACGCCTCTCGGTGATCGGAGGCCATACAGGTCCCGAAGCGGTTTCTGAGAAGTTTTCCGCTCCGAGAATATGGTGAGCGGCACGATGTTGCGGAAATCCTCATGCGAAATCCGTCGTCGGTCCCGAGTTCATAGTCCTCAGCTCAAGATTGGATTGCTAGGGAGGACTTCATTTCGATTCCAATCTCGCCGGTTCCAATGTCGCAGGTGGATGCGATGAGTGCGGTAAATATGACGTTCTTGCGACTTCTCAGGATTTGTCCACCTGAAGTCTGGGCTACGTACCGAGGATCAGTGACTTGCAAAGATCGGCAGCAGGGCCTTTCTCCCCCCGCCGGGCGGGACGGGGGGTGCGTCATCATTCTTCGCCACGTCTCCCAAGATCTGAGTCACCCCTTCCCCGAAACCGGAAGCAAACCGTCATGTACCGGAGATATCGCGGAGTGTGAAGAAATCACACACGGAGCCGCGACCGTGAGGGAGCTCGTGGGGGAATCGCTCGATCCCGCTCAAGCGACAGGCAGAGATCAGCGACAGCATCGTCTGCATGTCCCCGTCCGGAGAAGATATCGGCTCAAAAGTACTTACTACACCTTCCTTGAGTTCTCTAGAAACGTCAGAAACACGTTCCTTCCTCTGCGGGTATTCCTCGACACTAGATCGCTGAAGAGACCGTTCTCTCTCTATCGCGATTCGATAACCCAGGCATCGTCCCGACTCGAATGACAAGCTTAAGGGGAGGGAATTCCCTCTGATATAAGAGCAAGCGAGGATGAACATAATTTCTTCATCGAAAACGAAAGTTTGCAATGTGGACAAGCCTCTCATCAAGCCCCGGAGCGACGTGAGTCCCCACTGAGTCTGAACGATTTCACCGCGGTCCCTACATGGACTGGGGAAAGCGAACACATACTCCGCCGACGTCAAACGTCAAACTTCTGGGAGTGGGATCCGAATGACATGCTGACTCTGCTCATCTTCAATTCACAGATACACCTGTCGATATATGGACTCTTATTCTCTGAGATAGTTCAATACTGCCAGAACAGGGCCTCCACAATCGTCGAAACCCAAACAAAGCTAGCGGAGCTGGGTCAGCACATAGGACAGAGGGTCATGGATGTGCAGGTGAGTCCGGCCGTTGAGCGACTTTTTCTGTATCCTCTGCAGGAGCCTGAGTGAGATATCCAGAAGAGAATGATCGACATCAGAGAGAAAAATGAAGCTTTCCTTTTCATGGAAAGGCGGTGCGTGAAAAGAACTACAAACGCGAGACCAAACTCATCCAAATGTTGATATTCATCAAGGGCTCCATATGGAAAAATCTTTTCGGGAAGGAAGCTGACAAGCTGGAACAAGCAAATGGAGACGACAAGTAGGTTCCTGGCGGCAGGACTCCGATGGCCTCGATAGCTCTTGGCAAAAACATTAAAGAGCAGAAATGAAAAACGTAATTCGCAATAAGCAGGACCTCGACAACTGAGACGGGGGATGCACCTTTCAGAACGTACTACATCATAGATCAAGAACCGCTCGTCAACAAATTCATTTCTGTACCCAAGGACCTGAGCAGCTTGAACTGCGCCGCCTTCATGGCGGGGATCGTTGAAGCTATCATGGTTGGAGCTAATTTCGTAAGTTTCTGAGTCTCAATACTCTTCTTGTCTCACATCCGCTCCCTTCGAAACACCCGATATAAGGATATTGCGATGTGTCTACGAGCATCTCCCGTTTCCAGCCCTGTAAAGTGACCGCCTGCTCACACAATGGAACAACGTTCATAATCAAGCTGAACTAGTCCGGATGAATATCTTCTGTATACTTGGAGACGCAGTCGCGGTCGTTGGATTTTCAATTTATGAATAAAAGACTGTTTCAAGCGAAATCGAGATGAATTCCTCAAACGGAGGCTCATTGGGAATCCGGAGCTTCATATTCTTCGCAGCGCATCTGTTGCAATCCTCAGCGGCTAGTCCTATCGTCCCTGGGGTTCCTGACCATAGAGTTTTCGATCGAGGGCTTGTACGGAAACGTGAAAGAGTCCGATACTTGCCGGATATGCACGAATCGAGCAGCCAAGGGGTCGTCCAATCACAGCCTTCCGTGAAAGTCGCCGTGCGGAGTGTCGAGAAAATCGAGTCTAGAGTCCGGAACAGACAAGATCCCCCCAGAGAAGCCGTATCGAGGATCCGTCGGTAACGAGCGATGGAACTGCGGCGAGATCTTTCAGCAGGCTGCGGAGTCTCTCCCTCGAGGTTCTTTACGGGAGAAGGAGATTCTAGTATCGAGAGGTACACAATGATTTGGGCAGAATCGAAGTGCGAACCGACGCAGGCAATCGTCGGGCTCGGATAATCCTCAGATTATCGATCGCGAACATCGATCTCACCAGAGATTGTCCAACTTGACCCCTATGGACCATATATGTGCTATATGATACGCAACCGCGGCAAAACTCAGCTCCAACACACGGTTCAGTGAGATAAGACCTCTCACGGATCAGGATGGAATTCGCCCATGGTGCTCGATCGGTTTGATGCTTCCCCGGAATGGAAGATGGAATGATGAAGCGTATTGCCCTCCTCAGAAGCTCTCATCCCGACGGATAAGCAATCAGTGTACTGCCGACGGGATTCGAGCGTTCGCGCGTCCATGCTGACAAGCCTCGTCTGCTAGCTTCCCCAAGATCAGACAAGAGCATAGCGCACTTTTGGCCCCGCGCTGCCACTTCCACAACAAATAACAACAACACACACCGAGGAAGAGGGGTGCACGGAAGATATCTAGAATCAAGACCACACAGCGCCGCTTGAGGAAAGAAACCTGCCGGATTCGTTGAATGGAAATTTCTATAAAAACAGAATTTCTCGAGAAGTTTGCGCGGAATCTCAGCTAATGCGTCATCGGGAGGAATGTATCAATCCAAGGGCAGGTTTTCAGCCATCGTTTGCCCTCTGAGCGCCGAGTCTGAGTGTACTCGGCCGTACTGTCATTTCAAGCATGCGCCTCGAGAGATCGCACGAGCAGGTGAGTACCGAATTAGCGTGCTCGGCCCTCGGAGGAGAGCGACCGTTGACAACAACTGCTCCATCCCGAGCGGAAGCTTGGGGGAAGACTGTCAGCGAGGCAATCGAGCTTCAGCAGGTCGGAAAGTCCCCTCCGAGGTTCGAGCTCGATGTCAGTGGATGAATTCGGAATATCGCTTCCGTAACAATGTCGTGGGATGCTCGTTGAGCTACTCTCCTAACGACCCTATTTCTCAAAGCTCCCGAGTCATGCGAGCTCGATAAGAGCTTCCAAATCGCCGCACCTGTACCGCTACCATCAGCTGATCGGCGGCTCTCGGAGACGGGTCCGCAAGTCGAAGTCGTCAGTCCGAAGATAGAACTCAAGATTCCAAAGAGCCATATTCCTGCGATAAGGGTTCCACAGGTAATTCTGTCCAGGATGTTAGAGGAGAGATAATACTTCCGGTTTGTGATTCTCCATGTTTCGTTCTCCTTCCCCGATCGGGCTTTTTTGGAAGGGATCAGTCGGAGTTATTCAGCCTCGAAAGCAAAAACCTAATTCCGACTCCCCCGGTATGATCCTGGCCTTATTCTTATCGTTCCCCTTGATCTGTTCGCTTGTAACTGCATCCCATTATTTTCGGAGAACCTCCGAACTAAGGACAGCCTCTGAATTAATTTTGAATCCTCTGGGCTGGGAAGCTTCCTGCCCACCGATTTCCGTGAATGCATTAGCGCTCTACGTTTACAACAAAGACACGTCCGCAAAATTCCAGTATCGGCCGACGCCCCTTGCCATTCTACAGAAGCGCAATCAAACTTCATCAGCCAAAACCGCAGGCTCGACAAGCTTGAAATCGTCGAAGCCATCGGCGTATACACCACAATACGTCCCCAAGCCCGTTGTGAAGCCGAATGCCTCATCCTCGCTTGAAGCGAAATTCTCATCCGATGAAGAAGATGACAACGAAGAGGAAATACTTAAGGAGATTTTCCAGGAAGGTAAGAAGTCATCCGCGCGGTCTGATTCTGAACCGACTTTCGGAATAGATCTTTCTCGATCTGATCGACGCTCGGCAAGCTAAGGAGGGTCTTGAGTACTTGAGACATGAATCAAAGGACCGATTTTCAGCTCACGTAGTTGGCTTGGGAGCCGATGCTTACTATTATTATTCCAAAGAGAAAGTAAAACGACCCGTGATCTAATATTGACGTCAGACTATTCCCCCCTCCCAGCTGAACCAGGTGGCACCGTCAACGAAAACGAGGATATACAACGGGTAGAAGTGAAAGACATCCGAGAACGACCGGCGGAAAAAGACGTGACGGAATCTGGGACGAAAGACGTCAAAGAAGAGCCCCCAATAAGTCGTCATGAGCATGTGGACAAGAAGGTTGGTTGTTCTGCTTGATTCATTCGATTAGTATTTTCATGATAGCACTGAAAGTTACGCAGACATCATCCATTGCAGAGCAAAAGCGAATCGAGGTCCAATCCTCGCAACGAGCATCGACACTCTTTATCGTCGTCTTCTTCTCACAAATCGTCGAGAGACCATCATCATCGGTCATCGTCATCATCATCATCCGCGACATCGTCGTCAAATCGAAAGAAGAGCAACTGTGATAAATCTGAGAGAACGTCATTGGAAAGCTCGAAAAAACCCAGCGATCGAAGCACCCTCCCTTCTGATGGTAGTTCGAAGGACGGGAAGCGTACCAAGCCATCCTCCTCAAAGTCATCCCACGGGTCCTCCAGAAGTAAATCGGAGAACAAGTCGAGGAAATCCTCATCGGCTCAAAGGTAACTAATAACCAGTAACCACCACATTGGTCTATGACCTCGTCTCGTCCGCGGCTCGGGGTGCGGGCTCTTTCTCGGTCAGCTGAACATGATTCTCCCGCGCGGTACTCTTCCCGCAGAACCTTATTTGTCCGTTGTTTCCAGTCCCCCGAGGCAACCTTCCACTTCCAAAAAATCGCGCGAGAGCTCGGGTAGTAGCAAGCGAAAGAGAGCTGATACCAGCGATTGTGAAGAAGAGTCGGAAGTATTCCCGGGAGAAACCATGAAAGGTGAGACCCTTGGCACGAGAGCGAGTCTAATTGATCGAAAAATCTACGATAGATCATGGATGACCGGTGACGGGCCCACGCGTCCGATTGTACATTCCGATGATCGAGGACGGGTTTCGGTTCCAGAGAATGGTTGCGAATCGGCGGTTCCGAAGGGAAGCGATGAGGATTTCAGCGTACCTGGTATATGATTGCTCCATTTAGCTTTGGAATGCGTTCGATAGATTACAAATTGCGACTTAATTATGCTCATGTATACGGAGGAGCGAGATGATAGCTCACAATCGCCTATCGATACGGGATAAGATTCTGGAATCACTTTTTTCAGATGATGTAATCGAGTTGAGCGATGAAGACCCTGAAGCCGAGTGTTTGAGATTGTTCCAAGAAGGGGGCGTCGTTCCTCAGCCCTCGCGATCTGACTCCCCCGAGCCTCAGAGGGAACCGTCTAAAGTGATTGAAGTGAGTAGGCTCGGTTGAATTGTAACGGAATCTAGCCTTAGCTCGGAAAATGGAATCTCGTCAAACTCATCACACCACCTTCTCCAGTGTGCTGAACTACTCGTCGGAGAGATGAGAGAGCTGTTAAGTCGAATCTCTTGATCGAAGTTACCAATGTTTTGATTGTTCTTCCCACAGATGGTGGGCACGACGCGCAAAAGGATCGCGCATGACCCGTCCCTGAAACCCAGCGTGGTTCCCAAAAAGATTATCAGACCCTCCCCGAGCCAACAATTGGCGATGCGTCTCGAAGCCGTGGCGAGATTCCAGAGACAGAAGTCTTCGGAGTTTCCGTCATCTACAGTGATAGAAAGGAGAAGGATAGGTGAGAAAGTCAGGCCTCAATTGGGCGACACACGAAATTCCATGAGTCTTGGTTCCGACCCACAGGAATCGTGAAAGGATTCTTGTTGAATCGTCGTTCACTTCTTTCAGCCACTGTGTCATCTAGTTTGATCAAAGCCGTTGTGAATAAAAATAGTCTCCAGCTCCCGAAAGCCACGACGCCCGCAAGCGCGAATGAGAGATCTCTTCCATCACCGCCCGTTCAGCGAGTGTCGTTGAATGTTCCAAAACCTCATGCGACTAATCACGTCCAAACGAAGGTCGGTGGCATTGGGACTTTGAGATTTTCACGTAATACCAAACGATATCGGATAGCTTTATTCGGATTTGCTTCGTTCTGCGAGTGTTGCAAATAGCGGGTACTCACGACGAAATCGCTACTGTCTTCTTGAGTACTACAAAATCACATCTTCTGTACAAAGTAGTCGATTCCTCGGCGTGATGGAATCGATTTGCGAGCTCGCATAGTTGAGGCGAACCCCGCGGTGTGCTTCCCGGCCCCATCCCTAGCCTCGACTTCCTGGAGCCGATGAGATCCCCTGTTCGATTAATTACAAATCGGGGTCCGCGTCTTGGGCTCTCGCTGATTGCTCGTCTGGGGTCCCGCCGCGCTCTCTCGATGGAATCCCAGCAATTGATTTAGATTTCATAACGCTCTCGAAATTCCTCATGTGACATAGAAGCTCGACCCATTCTTCGTAGACCCTCTTCTGGTTCGATAATTGCTCTCGGAAGTTGCGGATGATTTCGAGTTCGGACGACATTGTGTCCTCCAAGAGCGAGAATTTTTCTCGGCTCTCGCTCACTCCAGCATTAAGTCTCTCGATGACCTTACAGCTATTTTCTAGCACAGACCTAACTCTATCTCGTTCTGCCAGAATTGCGCGATGAAGTTTTTCATTGCTATCGGCCACGAGTCTATCGATTTCTTCCTTCCCTCGTTTCTCAGACTCGAGGAGGTCGTCATTCAGGAGTATTAGACCGTCGTTTTCGAGTCGGAGCTGAGCGATCGTCGATTCTTTGTCTCGGAGTTCAAGCTGGCTCTGGCGCTTGAATTCTCGGAAATCTTTTAATGATTCGCGTAGCTTCTGATCATCTTCTTGTAGTTTCATCTCGACGGCTTCCAAGGCTTCTCGCAGTTTCTGAGCCTCGAGATCCTGAGGAGTTAACAGCGAGGATCGATCGGTCATCATCATCTTCTCTAGCTCCACTTTGGCCCCGACAACAACTTAAAAGCACCATCCCTGAATGGTGGACACTCACTTTTCTCTCGATTTCGGCGCCGTGCAGACTGTGTATTCGATTGAGACGCTCATTTTCCGCTACAAGTTCCCCGATTCGTTCCTTCTGCTCGTCGAGGGCTCTTTGCTTGGCAGCGAGCTCCGCTTGCACCTCGGAGAGGCACGATTGGAGTTGAGCTATCCTTTGGACGAGGAGACTCATCTGAAATGAATCGATATCCTCCGGAAATGTATCCACAAGGATCATACTATCTCGACTTCCCAGAATTACAAGCACTGGTCGGTTTCGGAAAGCAGAAAATCCGAATTCGCATCGGCTTGAAGGATTGCAAACTTCACGATATGAACCCTCGTGAGTAGACCCGAGCTGACTAACCCGGGACTCTTTCATTACAGGGTGTGAATCGCGTCGCTCACCCTGCCGTTTTCCGCGCTCCGGCTCACGACCCCGCCGCACCACCTCGACCGAGGATCCCTTTCGATTCAAAGGCTAAAGTTCCTGCTAATGTTCGTCAAATGTATCTCGAGAAGTTGATCGACGCGAACAATCTGGCTTGTACTACTTACGAGGAAAGTTATCAAAAGTCTTTGGACGAAGAGCGCGATGCTTGTCAGCGCTCCAAAGACAAGAAGGTCTATCTTAGCGTGATGGCGAATCTGCTTGTCAAGATAAAGAAGCAGAGCGGCGAGATAAGGCCGGCAACGACGACGACCCCGGCTCTGTCTCACGCGGACATCCTCGGCGGGCCCAAAGCCAAGAAGATGTCGTTTTCGATCGAGAAGAATCGCTTCCGACGGCATGTCTCCGTGGAGAACATCACAGGTGAGCTGAATGAAGAGCGGATCTTATCCGTGGGAGGCAGCCTCAATGAGGTTTCGTCGCTCCGCCGGCCGTCGATATCGTGGCGTCTGCTCTCGAGCCAGTTTCCGATCCTCTTGAAGCGATTTTCGCCAGATTCGTGTTTGGAGCTCCAGGATCCAAGTCTTGCGAGCTCGAGCTTTCCATCATGGGGGCGTTGTTAGTCGAGCACAATGACGAAGTTAATGTATTACGCTTTTCCTCCGATGTTCCATTGGAAAAGCAGGAGCGACATAAATGCTCGTATAATCATTACAGAAGAACAATTCTACGATCATCTTAAGGCAAACTATTTAATGACGCCGGCAGAGCTCGAAAGCATGGGCTATCCCCGACCACATGACAGCATGGCTGGGCGTGCTCAGTTTCGCAACGAAAAAGCTCTCACGGCGCCGCCTGATCCCCGGCTCGGATCCGAGCGACTTTGCTGCAGATGTAAAAAAGTGTTCTTCGTCGACGAGAAAGGACTCTACGTGAAACGGGAACTCTGCACATATCATTGGGGCAAGAATTGGACGCGGAGAGGTGAGTCTCGCTGAGGGTATCTCCGCCTAGCATCAGCAACCGTTGAGCGGTCGACGTCCTCACCTACACGTCGCTCGAAATCTCCCCCGACTCCTCCTCGAAAAGGAAACGAATTCACGAGCGTCTCTCTGGCTTTCCAGTCAAGAAAGGGAACACGAGAGAGCAGCAGTACACTTGTTGCGACGCCGAGTCCGGAAGCGAAGGATGCTGCGTGGCTCAAGGTCACGTTTTCGAAAATCCACCTCTGACTGAAGATGTCGGATACTGCACAACAATGACGTCGGACTCATCGTATCCTAAAAAAGTAAGGCTCTCTCGCGAATCATACGAGCGATTCATGTGAAGAAGGCGGCTTTGGATCACCACGGCTTAAACACTCGTGCTCGTAGGTGTTCGCTCTGGATTGTGAGATGATCTACACGACCAAAGGCACGGAATTAGCCCGAGTGTCGGTCGTGGACCTCAACATGAAAACCGTTTACGAGACCAAGGTCATGCCGGAGAACCCGGTTCTCGACTACAACACCCGGTTCAGTGGATTAAAGATGGAGGATCTCGAGAAGTGTACCACTTCGATATACGAGGTGAGTGTGCTCATTTCTCGCTCAGATTCTCCGCTCGGGATGGAGCTGCCTGACAATGCACCTATTCTGTCCGTGTTCCACAGGTTCAGGCCGTTCTGTTGAGTATGTTCTCTGCCGATACGATTTTGATGGGCCACAGCTTGGAGTCGGATCTCAAAGCATTGAAGCTGATACACTCGACCGTCGTCGATACATCAATGGTTTTCCCCCACAAAATGGGATTGCCCTACAAGCGAGCTCTCAAGAACCTCCTCAAAGAGTATTGTCAAAAAATTATACAGGATGGAGGTAAGATTTTGGGCCCGGAATGAGTTTTCGCCAATTCGCCGGTGAGTCGGAGTCGCTAACCTTGACGGGTGCCACGAATTCTCATTTTGATCCCTTGCAGTCGACGGGCACGACAGCGCTGAGGATGCGCGAGCTTGTATAGAACTGATGCTTCGGAAAGTTAAAGAAGATCTCAAATCGATGTGAAGGAACTCCGAGCTCCGGTTACGCGAAACTCATGAGGAACCGGGTGAAAGATAAAGGACGACAGCGGGAAATCTTCCTTCATGTGAAAGCGTACCGGGAAATGTATCGATGAAACTGGCGGTATGAAAAAAGAAAATACAGGCAAAAAACAAAAACCAATTCTGTGTTGAACAACTCATGATTGCGCAGAAACTGACGCTTCCCGTATCGGGACTGGCTCGAGATATCACGTGAGGATATGTGAAAGTTGCCGAAACGCATGGATATGCGCCTATTTGTTAAAGGAGGGACCACTTCGAAGTTGGGCTCGGCGTTTCAGACATAAAGCAAGTCGAATTAATTTAGCCTCAGCTTTTTCTTTGTCAGCATGGACACGTTCGTTTAGGTCGAACATGACGAGTGCGCAATAGGTATATTCGTCCCTGCGACATCCCTCGGATGAGTGCGGTGGGAGAGTGTGAGAGGTTATCCCACGGACACGAGGACGATTACTGTAGCCGACGTTTGATTGCGTGAGCTGTTGTAGAGCCCCGAGAGGATGAATACAGAGTCAGGAGACTCGGTCGCAATCTCCCTTATTATCTCCTTCCATGCGAGGGGATTTGTGTGTATGGCTCGCCGTCGAGGCACCGCGATGTACATGAGTAACATCCGTTCCGAGAGCACGATAGTCCGTGGCGTGCGATGATCCGCGATATGATTTCCTTTGATGGTCAGTGGGGAAGGGGGGTACTTTCTCAACCCATGCAATCAGAGCCGATTTGGCTATCGAGGATGTTGGGGTACCTGATGATCGCTCACCAGAATGGCCGTCGTTTCAGAATCCACGCATCGGCTTCAGTCTCCAGGATCCCATTCCCGCGACCAGTGCGTAAAAGGTAGACGCGACTGAATTCCCCGCACGGGGGCTCTCGATCGAAAGAGGGACAGTGTGGTGAGATTCGTCAATGAAACGGCTGGAGAAGAGACACACAGGAAGGTATCTTCACTTACGTTTCGCGCACCTCATGAACCCGGGCCGCAAGAGCAATCATCAGCATGAAGCATCCCGTGGGCAGACATCGGAGACACTTATTCGTTCATGGGCTTCTATTAGGACCGCGATCATTCCCACAAAGACAGGCTTTTCGAACGAAATTCGTATACTATTATGAATTCCGGTGTCAGAATCGCTCGTTTGCGCGCCTCCCCTGATTGGGAGAGGGAGGACCGACGACCATCTGTTCGAGAAACGATGGGAGAGTGAAGACAATGATGTTGATTATATTTGCTGAAGATTTCACTCAATCGTGCGATAACTCCTTCGAGTTCTAGATCCTGCTTCTCAGCCGTTTCGGATCAGACCCCGATCACGACGGCTCGTTTTTCCGGGGATTCCGACGTCTACTGCAAGGTCCGCAGGATATCCTCCTGTTCGATGTAGCCCCCTGAAACCGAACTCCCGAGGAGAACTGAAGCTGACTTCGATTCCAGATAGGACTCATTGTCATTTCCTTCGGATCCGAAAATCAAGAGCAAAGAAGGACCGAGTGAAGTGGAAAGGTTGAAATTCAATCCTTATGATCTATCAGGAAGAGTGTTCCTCGAAGAGGGTCATAAGCCGCACAGAGGGTCCACCGTGATATCCTCAAAGGGAAATGAAGAGATTAACCACTCCGGGAGCGTCTGAGAGGAAAATCATCACAGGAAATATGCTTGGTCGGTACGTGCCGCTGATTATTGACCGGCAACGCGATCAAGGTGCGATTCCGGATCCGAAGACGGCGATGCTAATGAGGATCAATGATCACAAATAATGCGATCGAACCAGAACGAAGCGAGTCCCGGAGTACTGCATGATAGTTGGTGTCCCGACCCGCGAGTCAGTATTCCTCCCTCGGAGGAGCGTGCGGGACAGTCTCACGAAATTCCTTGTTTTTTTTCTGTTATCGAGTTTTCGGTGGGGTACGAGAAACTTTGACAGGAGGGCTTCGATAGAAAATACTGCGGGAGAATAAAAAGGGGGATACAGAATAGAGAGTCCTCGTGTTCGCATGCGCGCAGCATGACATTTGCGGACCTCTCTTATCCGCTCGGAAATGCATCCATAAAAGGTAAATATCCGGGCTGCCATACACACTGACCACCATTGCCGCTTGCCTCCACCACCGCTACCTCAGCGCTCATGAGAGAGAGCGATCCGAGCGGTGTGAGTGTGCATTAGGGAGAGAGAATTTTGTTTGGCAGATCAGCTGTTGTGGATTCGACACGTCAGTCGCGGAGCAACCGAAAGAAATCGCCGCTGCTGTTGCTCCGGATCGAACTCCGTCCGTAGATCCTCTCCGTTGTTCAACGCGCGGGAGCTGTAGATGGAGGGCCGAGTGACTTTATCTGTTCGTGGTTAAAGGAGCGATTAGTGCATCGGGAGCCGTACAAGAACGCGGGAGAGTCCGGTTGAAGTTTTGTCGGAAGCTGGCGGGACGACGTAATCAAGACATGCCTCTAGCTATGAACTTCCCCTCGTTTTCATGGGGGAGCATAATCACGCTCATCTTCTTAGGCTACATCGGTAACTCGATGATAACCATGTACAAAATCTATAATCCCCCCGAATGTGAAGCTCAAAATGACTGTTTACATCCGGCGTGGAGAACCAAGAAGGATTTCAAGCACCAGGTGAGGCTGCCGGCTTACGAGTTCGTGCGTTCTGCGCCGAGAATTCATCGTCTCTCGTACAGGAAATCGGAGCCTCATTGTCGGGCGCTTTGAGCTCCAGGTATTCCTGTCAAGCCTTGTGATTGGACTAATCAAGTATTCTTCTCCACCCTCATGCTCCCGAACAGCTCGTTCTGATTGTATCCACCGAGCTGGCGACAAACAGAGTGACCCTCGGGGACCATCACGTTATCCTGAATCAGGAAGACTTCGACATCGGTTCCGAGTCGACGTTACGCTCGAGAAAATTCAAGATACCGATGTCGGTCAGGAACAATGGGACTTTGTATTTACACGCGTTCCTGGACACCCGGTTGCCGTCGGTGCAAGCGAAAGATCCATTCACGTTGAATCGCTCCCCGAGCACGTCGAAGCATTCTGTGGTTTTGACACATCACACAGTACCGAAACCAGAAGCGATCTCGCTGATGAAGGACAAAGAGAAAAAATCTCGAGACGAAATCGTGAGTGTCCCATTGGCGATCTGAAAAATCCATTGGATTCCATTATCCAGTTGGTCCGCGATCAATATGCGTTCCTCGCGGTTGCAGAAGTAGGAGAATCAAAACAGATTCGCGTCGTTCATGATTCCACCATATCTATTGACAGAACTATGAGAAGCCTTATGTGCATCTGCCGAGCCAGTTCACCATATCGCTGATGTCGACGCCACACTCGATCAGACTCGGCCATCTATTCCCTCTACTTGTAGAAATCATTCAGTTAACGCCCCAGAAAAAATACATGCCTCTTATATATGTCAACAAAGCAGCTGTGATGACAAAGGATCTAGTGGTGAGGAATGGCTCGGAATCGATTTCAATTTCTCTAAACATGTCTTCATGACACGCGCTAACTGTAGAATTATGTACATGCCAGCTAATCAAGCCGTCCACGGACACCTTCGAAGCAGCTATAACTTTTAATCAAGTGACGATTGGAAAACTGAAATTCCTCTCGATCGTAGAAGACGCCCTGAAAAACATGGCGCAGTTCGGCATTTCCGAAGAGGTGAGGATGCAGTCGGTGAAGCTGAAGGATAACTCATTGTCAGTCAGTGATTTCGGTCGGATATACGTCGTTCCCATTCACTTTTCCACTCCTGAGATCGATATTTCACGCGCTTTACGGGGATGGATCCGATATAACGATTGCCGCTTCCAGGATACTGACGGAGTGAAGAGCATTTTCTTCGACACGTCTTTATTCCTCCTCCTCACAACCATCCTAGTCTCGTCATTACATGTGGGTTGATCTTACAATTATTGACTGGATCGAGCCGCGCTCCGGCTGCGAATAAATGCAATCGAACTTCTCCTTTCTCTTCCCCAGCTCATCTTCGATGTGATGGCGTTCAAGAATGAGGTGTCTTTTTGGAAAAATATTCGAAACTTCGAGGGGATTTCCGTCCGCACTATCGGGTGGAGATCCCTATCTCAGGCGAGTACTTTTGTCCGTGGTTCGCGGTATGCTCAAGACTTCCTCTTCTGGATGCCCAGCTGGGAACTCTCTATTCTGCCGCTTTGATGTCAGGAGATACCTCCCAACGCGATACACATTCCGCACAGCATCCTCACCGATCGCCGTTTTCTCATACAGATCGTCATCCTCCTTTATCTCTATGACAACGATACTTCGCGTCTAGTCCTTTTCTCGACCGCCGTGTCCACTCTGATCGAAATTTGGAAACTGTCCAAAGCTCTCAAAGTTTCAGTGAAGTGGAGGCAGAAGCTTCCGGTCGGCCTGCAGGTGAGTTCAGCGGCGCGTCGCCCACCGTGATAACGTCCCATCCGATCGTTCCGGTGAAGAGCATCCGAACCTGGTTCCTTCCCTTTCAGTTCGGTACCGTGACTGCGGCCGAGAAACAGACCGACGAGATAGACGTGCAGGGTATGAGATATCTCTCGTACCTCTTGTGGCCGCTGTGCATTGGGGGAGCGGTCTACAGTCTGTACTATCAACCGCACCGGAGGTGAGCGTATTCGCCAATTCGGGACCGGCCCGCGCACGGGAAATGGAGCGCGATCTGCTGTCCCTTATGAAAACCCCCTTCCCCTCCCCGCACGAATAATGCGATCCGATAGGGATAGTACGGAATAAAACGATTCGTTTAACAATCGTATTATTGCAGCTGGTATTCGTGGAGCGTGGCATCTCTGGCGAACGGAGTCTACGGATTTGGTTTTCTGCTGATGTTACCGCAGCTTTTCTTGAACTATCGATTGAAATCGGTGGCGCATTTACCGTGGAAGGTTTGTGAGATTCACCGACATCGCTCGGACTCGCTCGTAGACCGCGGAAGATTTTCCCGAATGGAAGCGACCCAGCTCATGTCGAAAAACTTCCTCCTCGCAGGTATTCATGTACAAGGCTTGCAACACATTCACGGACGATTTATTCGCTTTCATCATCCACATGCCCACGGCTCATCGAGTCGCCTGTTTCCGGGACGATGCGGTGTTCCTTGTCTTCTTATACCAGAGATGGTGAGTGAACGAGGGTATCTTCTTGAGCCCCGGTATATCGCGCATCTGGATTCCATCCTTGAACTCATTCCTCTGAGCGGGATAGGCTTACTCCTACCGTGAAGCTGTCGATGATCACTGACTCAGAATTCGTACGATCAGGCTCTACCCCGTGGACAAGTCCCGAAGAAATGAGTTCGGTGAATCTTTCGCTGACAAAAAGTCGCCCAGCAAGTCACAGCTCGTTGTCGATGAGAAGAAGAAGAAGAAGATTGCTTAATTCGTCTCTTCAGATCTCTTTTGTGAAGAACCTCATGACAACGATCGACCCACAGTCGCAACACGACTTCGTGAGGGTGCGTGAAAACTCACATGGACGGAACTAGTCTCGACAGTGATCGTGGAAGGACCATTTCCCCAGTCGGTCCGACTCCAGGGGAACTGATGATATGATTCAATAAATCGATTTTCGATCGTTGATGATTTATTCACAGATCATTCATGATTCGCATAAACCTCAAGCAACCTTCTCAGCCGGATGAATGCAGTTTTACACAGGAGTCTAGATTCGGGCTTGCAAGGGCAAGTCATCATTTCAGCGAAAAATGAATGAAATGAGGCACGATAAGTGTAAAAATTAGGTGCATAGGCTCAGGATGCCATGGGATGGATATTTACAAAACGCTTGAAACCAGTCGTTCCCTCGGAAGCGATTCGCCTCGCGCCTCCCTCTGAACAATACTCCTGGGACACCACGAAAACGCTAATTCAAGCAGTCTTTGTAGTGTCGGATCATGTTGCTCATTCTGGTCGTGCTCCATGAGCAATTGGAACAGCGATAGTCTCTCGTGCACGGAGGGGTCTGATCCTCCTGTTTCCGTATGAGGAAACGGCACTTCTTGTTGAGTTTCGAGATTACCAGAGTCGTGTCCTCTTCCAAGCACACGAAGCCGTTAGATGGCTCTTCGTCGTCGTCGTCGTCTTTGTTACCGTTGGTCCGGAAGCGGTTGTTGGCGAGCATGGCCTCGATTTCTTGTCGTATCGAGTCCTCGACGTCTTTCGAAACTCCTAACGTGGCCAATTCGCTCTCGTTGATTCCTGCTTTCGAATCGGATTGTGAGGATTCTTCGGCATGCATTTCGGCATCTGATACTTTGGCGTTCTCTTGAGGTTTCCCAGCGTCTTCCTGTGAGTCCTGAATTCGAAATTGCGAACACTTGAGCGGGGTGTTACTCTCTCAACACAGATTACTGATTTTCTGCGAATTCCAATATAACCCTGCGCTACCTGAGGTTGCTGATCCCCAGCGGCTTTGACATCGTCGATCTCTGGGCTCGTGTCCCGGACCTTGCTCTGTGATTTTCGCCTGTTCGATTCGAAAAATTCCATAACTCATAAGACTCCACGAAAAAGTAGAAGCATGGGAGCATCTGAGAAGCGCGCGAAGTGTCGCAGTCATTCTATTTGCCTCCGTCTATAAGGCTCACTCACTTCGGTCTTTTGTCTTTATCCTTCTGAGGGCTGTTTTCGAAAGATGTTTCCTCTTGTCCGGCGAAAGACATCAGCACACAGGGTTCCTCGTCCTCCGAAGCTTCGCCCGCGGACTGCGATCGCGAATCTCCACTGTTGACGTGTTCTGCCGAGCGATCGTCGCTTTCGTTGTCTTTGTTAGTCTGATCCGAGGCGTGCCGCGACTGAACGTTCAAGAGAGAAATTATGGCCCCTCCTTCTCGAAAATTTTTACCCGTTCGAAAAATAGTTTATGCGAAAGATTCGAAATGCCCGTATTCACCTGCTTAGCCGGTGGCTCCTGCGCCTGATTGAATAGCGAATCGAATAGATCCGTAGCACTAGGAGCCGTTCTTGGTTTCGGTCCTCGTTTCCGACCTCGGGCTGATTTCTCGCGGTCCGCCATTTTCTCAGGATGAGGCCAACTGTGAAGAAACAAGCGGAATCAGTTAGCGTCAGGTAGTATTCCGACCAGCGCGATGATAGGCTTCGGTGACTGCTTTTCATTACGTCTCAGAACGTCGACGAAGCGCTAGGTAGCCTAGAGCATAGGAGACTTCATACTGCGACTTCATTGCTCATTTCATCAGTGAAGGGACTCAAGTGATGTCTCACAATCTACTTATGGAAAAGGGATTCAGTGAGGATTCGATTGCTCGGATGAACGGTTTATTCAGAAATCCATTGCACGGTTTCCCCCGGACGTTTGACAACTCATCGTAGGGGGACTTTCGCTCAAATCCGGTGGCATATGAAGCTGTTCGATGTCGAAACGTTTGCCAGTCTGGTGGAAAGCGTATTCGACGCATGGGGGTTTGTGTCCAGTTATTGAGTTGATTTCGGGGATCTTGTCGAGATTCAGCAGGCCGTGATGCTTCTTGTAAAGCGGATTGGTTTTCCGCTGATCGCTGGAAAACGCTACCAGCGAGAGCACAGCGTCGGCGATGGCGAAAAACCTTTGGAACCTCTCGTTCGAACAGCAATGGGGCACAGAGACCCAACAGACGACGTTTACGTGTCGAGACAAAATCTTCAAAGTCCTCAAAAACTTGTGATCCAGCAGCAAACCGACGGTTGCTACGACTCTGAGCACGTTATCGCTCGGGATTGACGAAGCCAGTATTCTGAGGATTTCCTCCGAACTCTGTACGAGACAATTGCATCTCACGATATCGGCTTTCGCAAGCTCCTCGGGTTCGATGCTGAGGACGAAGTCGAATATGTGGTCCGATTGACTTTCGGGAAGACTCTGGTGCTCGGGTAGCCGCTCGTATCGGAAAGCGATCTTCATTTCGTCCCTGGTTTGAGGAAGTTTCCATTCCCTCGGGATTTTCTTCGGGAGCTCACTCAAATCAAGGCTTGTTCCTCCGTCGATAATCATCACGCGATGGCCGTGAGCTATGCCTTCGGCTATGAACGATTTCGTCAATTGAATCGCGAAGACATTGTGAGCATCTTCCGCGATCAGATTTACGCTCCCCAGCGGCAGGCCCCCTCCGAGAATCGAATCTAATTGAGAAGATCCTGCTGACGTTGTGGCGACGAGTCCAGGTCGGACGCCTTTGAGAGACGATGCTACAGACCGTCTCTGGAAACTCATTATGGTTCTCTGGTGCAGAAGCTAGCGCACGTTTCCCGGGCACGGCTCAAGCTGCTACAAGCAGGAGATATTGTCTTCCGCAGGGATGGAGAGACCGCCAAAACACCATCGAAATCTGGGAGCCAATAACAGAGTTAAGCCCACGGGAGCCTCAAGAGCTCTGATACCTTGAGGTTCCGTATACCGGCGTGAATCGCACTCGTTGAACTCACAATTTTGACGGACCCGGAGATGATTGGGTGATCTAGTTTCTCATGAAAGCCACTTACGAGTTCTGATGTTCGAGAGGGCCCCCGGCGGATGACAACAATATTATCGTCGAGCAGCAGCCCACAAAAGAGAGTGCTCTGAGCCCAAGCACAGATCACAGGCCGCGAGCATGAGTCTTGACGTCAGAAAGATGGAGGCAATATGCCCTTCGAGAATTCCTCTCCGGGAATATCGTCCAGAACGTTAGGACTGCTCAGCAAGACATCATACGATTGCGAAAATTCCTCTCGGCAGCCGTCTCTAGGGCGAATACCGGAGAGTTCCACGCTTTTTTCGAATTTCGCGGGCTCGAGCTAGCGGCACCATTGGATGGGGACGCGCTCACCGGTTCTCTCCTCGTGTCACTCGGTGGGTGCCGGTGGGACGAAGCGAGTTCCATTCATGTCGCCCGGCGGCTGCCCCTCCTCGTGAGCTGCGATGAGTCCGTGATAGCGGAATGGGGGATGGAGACTTCATGCCGCCCACCGCCAGCCTCCCAAGCGATTGAGGGGAAGCTGGTCCGTGGGGTTCCTGTGGGCAGAGTCTCCTCCCTCCTCTGGGCAAATAATCCCCGCTCTCAGAAAGGCTGGGAAACATTCAAAGTAGAGATGATCGGGAAGTCCCATGACCGGTCCCTCCCTCGGAGCTCTTGGAGATTCCGAAACGAAACGCGCTCCGAGTCTTAACCTGATTTCGTCTCAATATGCGTTCGGCGTGGGAGACGACTTTCCCCATAGACGATTACATCCCACCGCTGCTCCACGCGAGCAGCGCGAATATTTCATTTTTGATTCCTCAGCAAATCTTGATTCCACGACCACAAATCATCGCCGAAAGATTTGCATGTTATTCAACTAAAACCGCGCCGCTGACTGAGAATTCGGCGCCAAGTCTCCCCACTCCCCGGGTGAGGGGTTCCCGAAGAGATGGACTCGGACCCGAGTTAGACTCGGAGTGATATCGCGGGTCGAGCACTGGAGAAGGCCAGGCGTAGAGACCTAGTATCGAAATCGATCACGATTCACATGAGTTTCGCCAAATTCGATATCGACTATGATAAAAGACTCTCAGAGATGGATGATAATGAGCTCATTTGAGGATAGACTAAGCTGTCATTATTGAGCATTCTAGATCGCCAGAGACGACCCGATGCGGGTATACGGTTATCGTGGAATTCCGAAAACACCTCGTCCCCCGAAGCGCTGCCCGCACTCGCCTCTCTCTTTGAATTCCGCGCGCCCTCGCTGTACCTCTCTCCCTCTCTGACACGCTGAGCGAGTGAGTATAAACATAAAAGCGGCTCAGACTGTAAGTGAGCGCAGAAGTCTCGAGTCGTCTGAGTGAGTGATTCGAAGACTACTCGATCTACCGAGCTCGGAATCTCTGTCGACAGTAAGGGCATCGGTCAATTCAGGATGAGCCTAGACATTCACGATGAAGGACCCGGCTTCGTGGGAATTAAGTTCTGCCAGGAATGCAACAACATGCTGTATCCGAAGGAGGACAAGGACAATCGACAACTGCTTTTCGCTTGCCGAAATTGTGATTTCCAACAGGTTGGTGTGAACAGGGAGCCGACATGGCTGCTCTATGGGGGATGACCCTTCATGTTCTGTTTCATCTCGAAGGTACCTCGAGTTGCCATTTCGACTTCACTAATCGGTACCATTCATTTCAGGTCGCAGACAACCACTGCATTTACGTGAACAAAATTACACATGAAGTGGATGAGCTGACTCAAATCGTCAGTGACGTCATATTCGATCCGACTCTGCCGCGTACTGAGGAACATCCTTGTCCGAAATGTGGTCACAGAGAGTCCGTTTTCTTCCAAGCTCAAAGCAGGAGAGCCGAAGATGAGATGAGACTCTACTACGTTTGCTGCAACCAAGGGTGTACCCATCGTTGGACTGAGTAGACCTTGCTGCATCGCTACTATTTCCATTGTAAACTGTAATTATTCTGTATATAAATTCGAAGCTTATCAGTCTATGATTCCCATCTCATTACTGCCGGGGATGCCGTTCGAATCAACAGCGTTTCTCGCGAGCCGTGGGAATATTCCTGATTCGAGAGGACCTGGATCCTTAGTACTCCAGTCTGACTTCACGCACGTGTTGGAGTATAAGAGTCCCGAAAAATATGTAGATAGATATCTTCATTGACTGAATATTTCGATAGAATGAGCAGACAGCTGGTTTATCATTGAATTGCGACTCATAGATTCCGAAATTACATCCACGTCTTTCGATTGTTCGAAGCGGGATCACGCATATAGATATGTAAATGGTACAACGAGATGGAGTTTTAGCGGATACCTAGTAATACTTTGCGTGCTTACTTCTTCCGCAAGGGAACATAGCAAATCGAAATACAGATGGGCTTGCACATCATCGTTGGGCCCGATCTGCCTTCTATGAGTTGTGTGGGCTCAACGCCTGAAGTCGCCCTCTTGAAGAGCTCGATCCTCCTCGGCTGAGAATTCCTCTGGAGCGGATGACTCTTCTCTGTTCCTCCCTTCTCTGGATCAGAACCCGGCAAACCCCGACATCGTTCCCCTTGGGGCTTCAACGTCAAGCAGGGCTTGACCGATCTGCCGGATGCGACCTTCTCCGCGTCGAGAGAAGAAAGTGATTCCGTGGGGCTCAGCCTGATTCGGAGGCGAACCCTCCCGGAATTCGATCGGCACTGAGCCTACACTCGCGCCTTAGGGACGAGAGATCGCCCGTCGATCTATTCTCGAAGATGGATAGTGGATCGGTTCCGCGTTTCCGAACCGCCCAAAAGCCGGAATCTCACCACGGAAATCGCGAACTCAGCCGGTTGACCCCCGGGTTGCTCTTGCACTCTAGTCGAGAACCACCGACTCATGGCGACAGTGCGCTCGATGATGAATGATGTATCGGTTACGTCTCGCCAGATGCAATCTCGGTAGGCATATAGGGATAGGATAGGCATACCGCAGTCCGGTGGAGAATACTTCTTCAAACGTTCAAATTCGCCCGGCCCGGCTCAGAGAGCACCACTCGTCGTCGTCTACTACACCCGGCTCCCCTCTCCCTTTTTCGTTCTGCTTGTTTTGTTTTTGAAAAGGACGGCTGCTGCTGCCGCCCCGCCGAGAAGAACGATACCCTGAGTGTTGTTGATGTTTCTACTGCTATCCGTGTTTCCCGGCCGTCCGCCTCCTCCAACGTGTGTCGTCTCGAACTTCGATAGACCTTTCTCGCAAGGTGTTTATTTGTCGGCTCCATTGAATTTGTGTTCTGAGCAGTGTCTATCGAGATCGTATCGCTGCTGAAAACTTCAACCACGCGAGCAACGAATCCGCCTGAGAATGGCGAACCGTCTTGATGAGCTCTACGGCTTCTACGATGAGCTCGTGGAAGCAGAAAAAGAGGGAAAATTGTTGGAAAAAACGAGTGTGTATGAGAAAATCATCTCCCGAGCTCTCACCGGGGACTCAAAGGTCCGTTTCTCGTCGCCCATGTCGTATGATTTCATCCTGGTTTTTGAGTCGTGTTTCTGCAGGGAGTTCTCATGATATTCGGAATTTGCAGGAGAAACGCTTGGTGTCACAGTTCATCGCGAAATTCTTCAAGCATTTCCCCGAACTTGAGATTCGAGCCGTTGAAGCGCAAATCGAACTCTGCGACGATGCCGATATAAACGTCCGCAAACAAGCTATTCACGATTTACCTTCTTTCTGCGCCAGAGGCCACGACGACCCCTACATATCGAGGTAATGTTCTGCGCTTCTTCAGCTCAAGTCTCCCGAATGCTTTTGTGTTCCCTAAGGGAAGACATACGCCAATGATTTCCGGACTGGTCTGGCTCACGTGAAGAGGAATTCCATTCGACATTTCAGAATCGCGATTGTCCTATGTCAGCTGCTGATAGTCGAAGAAAAAGGAGAGTTGGCTATCGTTGAGAAATCTCTCAACACTCTCCTGCGGCAATCCGTCCATGCGACGGTGAAAGGGGTCTTCGGACAAATGACTTCGTCCGTTTGCGACGACAGCATGAGAGATGCCTGTATCCGCTTCCTTTGTAGTAAAGTCAACCTCAAAGTGCTCGAAAAGGAAACCGAGCAAATGATGCTGGAGGAAGCCGTGAAGGTAGCTACTCTACTCGGCGGGGAAGAATTCGTCCTCCTCCTAAAGCTTCTATCTGCACTCAAGGTTTGTGACGTAACGCTCCTTTCTCATCTTGAAGCAATGGAATACTCTTAATCTGACGTGGGCAGCTGACAGAGAGTCCACACTAATCGTATGAACGAAAACTTTTCCCTTCAGATCTCCAAACTTGTCGTGAACCAACAAGTTATCCTGAAGATGATCGCCGATCAGCTCCAACTTTCCTCCAATCCAGCTTTCGACGCAGAACACATCGTCAAACTGAAGACGTGTCTCCCCTTGGCGATACCGTTCTTCACCCCTTTCACTCCGTCACAACCTTACGTGACACACCTCGTGGACGGGTTTCTGCCGAAGATGGACGTACAGGTGAGTGAGGATCGATAGCGTCCCCAGGGAGTTCGCAATGAGCGAGAGGAGGTCCAACTTCACATTCGTTTATCTCTCGTTACAGTCACCCGATAGTCTTGATCTTCTGAAAATTTTGGCTCAAATATCTCCGCATTACCGGCACCTAACTGATGAAGACAACGCTGACCTGAAGCTTGAGTTCGAAAGCGTACTCAAGAGCCTGTTCGAACGCATACAAGAGTTTTTGCCCCAAGTTCCGGCCGACGACGATCTTGAAAAAGATCCGGAACTTCCGTCGCTGCACCTCAGCCATCTGGAGTGCTTGCTCCTTGCATTCAATAATATCGCCCGCAAAGTGGATCCAGCCTTCACCAAAGACGAAGCCCTCCTGAAAAGTATTCGCCAGCGTCTCCAATACTTGAACCGAGGCCTTCAGGGCGAGGCCAAGAAACTGAGAGGGCTCATCTCTCAAGGCGTGAAAATTGATGCGGACAAACGGGCCGCCATGCAGCTCGCTCTGAAAACCATCGCGAATTTAACCGCATTCATCAAAGATTGGTTCCATAATCCTCCCGCTTTCAAAGTGAGTTGAATCCATGACGAAGGACGACGGGTTTTCATGGAGGAGCAGACGAAGTTAAGACGATCTCTGGGATGGGGTTCCGAATCTATCTACCTGTTCCTCGTCCCACGATACTCTCCGATGCTAGTCTTTAACCGTTCTCCCCCTCCACAGACGACTGTCGCCCCGTCCTGGCTCCAGAACGAATCGGCGAAAAAACCGTCTGCGAGTGCGCAAGCCAACGGATCTAACCAAGAGAACAAGCGGAAAGCCATCGTTTTTGAAAACAATGATGCCCCGGCGAAAAAATTCGGTCGCGACAGCCGCAAACTATATGAGCCTCCGAAAGGGAATTCCGGCAGGGGTCGTTTCAGGTCTGGGAGGTGGTGATCGACATGTGAGTCAGAATGTAATCGGTCTGATGACGAGGTCCGCGGTAATCTAAGCCAACGTCAAGGAGCACGTTGGTTCGGTAAGTATAAGGGGAGCGTCGATTCCTCTGATAAGTCCAAGGTCTAGGCTTCGACCCGCTCCGTGGTGTCCGATACCATTTATTTATCTTCCGGCAGTTTTAGTTTCATGACCAGCGTTGATGGTGCGGCCCCTGTAAAGTTCTGCCGCTCTCGAGTCCTTCCGCTGGGTTTTTCGAAATTTCTCGAGTTCCGAGAGTCGTGAATGCTCCAAGTCTTCACCAGTCCGATACCCTCCGGTCGGTCCCCGAAGTTTCTCATCCCATATTTATGCTTGAATTAACTCTCATCTATCCAACACTCGATGCTCTAACCGCCCGATATTCGAGTCTTTGAAACTTGAGTCTTGTTGTGTTTCCACCCACCCCGGCTCAGCTCCATCACTTCCTATCCGCCTACATTCATAGATTTGAGCTTTAGAGGGAATATCGTTCTCGATGAATCGCCCCGCTCCCGTTCCCCTCGAGAAGTGGCCACCATGAGGACCCAAATTTTTCGTACAGGAAATTCGTACTCGTCGGAATGGAGCGCTTTTGCGCTTTTCTGTCCCTCATTGAGTACAATGCAGGTGTTTGTTCGGGGAACATGTCGGTCGAGCGCGAGACATCCATTGTAAAAGTTCATGTCTATCCTGTCGATCGTTACGAGCTCGGACTGTCGCACCATGTACATTTCGGCAATGTACCTTTCAAGTCGAAACGCAGCTGCCCGTGACCGTTCGGGGACTCATCGGTCTGGAGCTGCTACTACGTCCCCGGTGTCTCCGGGAGAACTCGCACTCCTTCGACGTGAACATCAGAGGCTTCTCACAACTGTATCAGATTCCAAGATCCTCGTGCTCCAGACAGGTTGTCTTTGCTCTCCAAATCTTTCCGATCCGCAGCCGATAGATATGCCGAAATGAAATAAACTTATTCCTGCAGTATGCTGAGTGAAACGACAAATTGTGTTTTCATTGATGTCCTTGCTCGCTCCTTCTCCCACATACATATATCGACGAGAATGTGAAGATCAGCTCGGAAGCTATATCTACACTTCCGATCAGACCCTCACTGACACTTCTCTAACTGAGTACTTTGGGGGCGCGTTCTCCGACCGGTCAAAATATCCGGTTCAGCGTCACTCTGGATTCCTAGACACTGCGTGGTCGATGGCCGATCGGCAGTCGTCTATATTCCACTAACGACAGGAATGAGAAGTGGAATGCTAAAAAGAGTCACGTTCGATGGCAACAAGGTCCGCAAGCGTGAGTGTGTGTCTATGTTGGCGTATAAACTTGTATATCCCATGTTGTATGATGCTTTCTCGGTATTTGTTGATCCACGCCCACATTCGGTGATTTACAACCGAATAAATATGCTCTGCACAAAGTGTGCAGAACATGAATGATTGAGGTCGTAATTGAGTCAAATTGCATGGTCAACAGTTTTCCGCGGTATGCCACGCCCGCAGCTCTTGTCAGGAAGTATCAGCTTCCTCATGCAGGTGCTTCAGGTGCGTAGAGAAGCTGTCGCGGGAGAAACTCGGTCGATGTGAAGCTTCTCGGAAAGAGAAGACATGCGTATCGACGCCCGATAGCGGATGACCTGCCTCCATCTACTTCTCGGAATCTCCCGCATCTCAAGATCTGGAAGTTTGAAAAAAGACACCTGGCAGGAAGCCGAAACGCAGGGGCGATCCCGTGGCGTTCGTACCACATGTCAGTCCTGGGCTAATGGAGTTCGCCAACGATTTTACAGGGAACGCCGCGCTTGCATCGACTCACTCTATTTCCGCATCTTCCGCGGCTCATTCCAGACAGTATCTGAGGTTATAACTCCTATCACGAATCGTGGAAGAAGGAGTTCTGCCTCATCAACCCTCACATATATGAGGTCGATGGAATCCGTCGAAGGATACAGCGCCTATCTAATGGAGCTACGAGACTCTGCTAAAAACGATCGAATTTTCGACGCCTCCAGCAGACTTTTTAGGAACCAAAGCAAAGTTCGGGATATCGCGCCGGATCGCTGCGATTCCCGGAAGCGCTGGAGAGGTCCCCCGATCTCATGGCAACGATTTCCATTTAACACGCACTCCATTCGCATTCCATGGCCCGCCCGGGCTTCCTTTCGCACGGAATGTCGTCTATAAGATGGCACCGGAATCCTCTCTCGGTTGATTTATCAACACTCTCGGCTAGTTCCAAGGATTAAGGCAAGACGATCTAGATCCCTCTAGATCCTTCTCTCCACAATGTTTGCCCATCTCTGAGCGCGTGAATCACCGCAGATATCGTTGGTTCAAACTTCGCTTCGAGTCAGCGCAGGGATGAAGCTCCTCGCTGTCTTGGCTGTCATCGGCTTGGCGTCCGCCCTGTCGCCGAATCCGAATTTGAACCAGCACTGGGAAAACTTCAAGGTGAGTCCTGGTCGGGGCCCTCCCCGCGAGAGTGAAGATATTCAAGTCGCCACAGCAGATTGCGGTACCATGACGGCGACTGCGGCATCGACGAGAGTGAACTCTAATAGGCTTCAGAATCCTCGACGAACGATGACCCCATGTTATGTATCGCTCGAATGATACATCGCGATGAATGAATAGATACGTCGATCCTCTTCCGAAATCGTGTGCTTGCTCGGAAAAGAATACTGTCAAGTTCGGCAACTGATCAGACGTCAATATGCCTGGCCCGGAGAGATTGCCGAGAGAACGAGAAGCTTGGTCGTGTTTTGATAATTCGCGAGCGCTTGGAATACATCTGACTACTACGCGGGATCAGCTGCTGGACGCCGAGTTCAAAGTCGATTCGATGGATACACGAAGGCTTGTAGTCGTTACCGCGTTGCATTCGCTATCTTATAACGTTTGACCATCGTGTCGACCATGGGAAGACCGCACACGAAGCCGCGGTGATCCGGTGTGATACGTGCACTCGTCCTAATTCATCGAGTCCGATGCTTGCAGGCTGAACACAATAAGAAATATGAAAGTTTCCCAGAGGAACTCATGCGCCGACTCATCTTTGAGGAAAATCACCAATTCATCGAAGACCACAACTCCAAGAAGGAATTTGATTTCTATCTGGGGATGAATCATTTCGGCGACCTGGTTCGTGGCTTTCCGCGTCAGCACCATCTAGAAACCTCCCCAGCGATGGCTCGGGGACCTTGAAATGAGCTGAGAAAGACGATTTCTTTGTGCAGACCAACAAGGAATATCGGGAACGCTACCTGGGCTACCGGAGACCGGAGAACACTCCTTCGAAGGCGAGCTACATCTTCAGCAGGGCGGAGAAGATTGAAGATGTTCCAGACCAAATCGACTGGAGGGATCAAGGCTTCGTCACTCCGGTCAAGAATCAAGGACAGTGCGGATCCTGCTGGGCCTTCTCCGCGGTCGGCTCCCTGGAGGGTCAGCACTTCAAGTGAGAACGTCACAAGTATTCTCTTCTTGGCTATCCTATGTCGCCCCGTTTTCCTTTCCTTCTCTAAGGCGCACTCCGATCCAGGTCTACCGGGAAACTTGTGTCGCTCTCGGAGCAGAATCTCGTAGACTGCTCAACACCTGAAGGGAACAGCGGTTGTAATGGAGGTTGGATGGACCAGGCATTCGAATACGTCAAGGACAATCACGGAATAGATACTGAGGACTCGTATCCTTACGTGGGAACCGACGGCTCATGCCACTTCAAGAATAAATCGGTGAATATCCGTGCTTTCCTCTTCGGAGCTGATCGCCATGAAAAGCATCGTGCGATTTCCCGGAGGAGAATTCATTCTCACCTGAGTATATTCCCTAGATTGGCGCAACCTTGAAGGGTTTCATGGATGTGAAAGAAGGTGATGAAGAAGCTCTGCGTCAAGCCGTCGGCGTCGCCGGACCCGTTTCCGTGGCAATCGACGCGTCGTCGATGCTCTTCCAATTCTATCGCGGAGGCGTGTACAACGTGCCGTGGTGCAGCACTTCCGAGCTCGACCACGGAGTGCTTGTCGTCGGTTATGGAAAACAGTTCCAAGGAAAAGACTTCTGGATGGTGAAGAACTCTTGGGGCGTCGGTTGGGGAATTTACGGCTACATCGAAATGTCCCGCAACAAAGGTAATCAATGCGGAATCGCATCCAAAGCATCCATTCCAACTGTTTGATTGGAGCCAAGTTCTTCTCGTAATGGCCATTGTATGAAACTAAATAAATGATTCCGTGTGGTTTGCTCGACGATCCGATTCGGAATTAACACACATCGAACTTTTGTCTGTGCGCGTGTTGCAACGCAAGAGCGTTTGTCGATTAGCGATCACGTTCTTTCCGGGCGTGGTCTCGATGACCGACCCTTCAAATCAAATTGGTGGCGGACGAGGATCCTTCTTCCTCAAAAGCTCGGCGGTCCTTCATGCTATCGGCTCCATCGTCGTCATCGCCGAGCGTTGCGGTGGCCGCAATAACAATTGGATGGCATCTATTTCCGACATCAGAGTGCGCATTTCTGATTCGATCCGAATCGGCTGCTCATACCAATCAGATTTCGTGTAATGCACGAGACTTCAATTGTAATTCGGCTGGTTCCAGTGATTCCTGAAACATCATGGAAGTGCGAGTATCTCAGAAGATGCATTTCGCGATTCTGAGATCCGATGAAAATAGGAAACCCTTGGCTCTGAGAGAGATTTCGCGAGCTCTGAGAGGACGGACCGTCCGCGGCAGAGCACGAGAAGGAACTTTCGGATTCTTGATCGTCATTGCAAGCCACGAACTTCTTTCGCTCTCGCGAAGGACTCAATTTCATCGGAAAGCTCCAATGTGTTTTGATGCTTGGCGCACAAAGTCATCGGAACCGTATCCATTGATGTCGATTAGAAAATCACTTACCGATCGCTGATTGATGGAAGCGGGCTCACGTAGTGCACAAATATCTTCACGCGTTGTATACGTGCCAAAGAGGAGCGGTTAGGTTTTTGCTTGCTCTCTTGTCGCTTGTCGTCCGAACTACACGAGTACCACAACCATCGGCATGAGACATGCTCTACATAATAGAAAAATTGGTTCGATATGAAAGTCGAGCTTGACCTGCTCCGATCGAAGGGCGCCTACCCTCAATCACTCGGGAGACTTATGAATTCGCGGCGGAACGAAAAATCCGGATCTTAGTCGTGAGCCCCACAGTACCAATTGGTGAAGAGGTTCGACCGCATTGTTCTTTAAGGATTATCTGACACAATTCAGCCGACAATCAATATTCTTTATTATTATGCAAAGGGTCACGGCTCTGGAGAGATTCTCACTCTTGTTGGCATTTTATCGTCTGAATGAGCTCTGCATCGGAAAAATGTCCCCGGCTCCCATCGAGGCTCCGGCGTCGGTGTCGACGTCTTTGCTGAAGTCGTTGTTAAGGGAGTGTCAAGGCACCAAGACGAAACTGGGCATTGTGATGAGCTAGATGAAAACCCCTCCCTCCTTCGCACGAGTCGGCTGCACAAATTGATATCAAGATCCGTCTCTATCGGCGAAGAAGATCTTAGTCTTTTGAATGCGACCGCAATGGACACCACCGTGATCCGGATCGAGCGGGCAAGCGAGCATTGTGTCGTTTTATTTTGCTCCGCGGTCGATGCCAGAGCAGTCGAAGATCCGAACCAGATTGTCAATACCCATTCAGGATAGCCACCACAGCAGCAGCAACACTTATGGAGAATTCCACCCGGTTTTTTTCGAAGTTTCGTCGGTTTCCTCTAAAATAATGGAATACCCCGCGAACAACCATAACTGCAAGCGGAGCTTGCGGAGGGTAACCCATTTCGCAGTCAATCTCGGGTGATCTGGCGGGAATCATGAGACGCGGAGTCGTCCTTGATCGCGCAATTGCCCGCTCGTCTCTGTCAGATTCGATTTCGAGCAAAATTTATCTCGAAATAGCGAAGAGAAAGAGCTCAGTGACGTCGAACAATACGGTCCCGCGAAGGCCCACGCTCGATCAAGAAGAGATTTCTGAGAGATGGAGTCGAATGGCGCAGGCCGAGCAGGTTCATCGAATCGCTCGACCACATACGAGCAATTTCCTCCGGGGATCCGTTGTGGAAAGCCTTCAGAAAGCCTGTGAGTTATTCAGCGAGCAAGCGAGCGAGAAAGCCGAACGACCAGTCAGTCAACCACCTAGCCACAAAAGGGCGGGGGCGCCATGCTTTGGAAATATGGGTCGATATTTGAAGTGGCAATTTGTTCGGGGCTCGGCCACAAGGCTGACGTCCGCAACAATGGCTCTGACGTCCGAGGTAAATCAAATAGGGACGTCGGTCCGTCGCTGGAGCTACAAGTAGCTTTTATGCGGCATCGCGAACAGCTTACTCCACTGAACGAGAAGAGAATTCAGCACCGCAGTCAAGATAAGCAGGCTCTGTGTGTTGATTCCACCGGCAACTTGCATGTATGGGGGAGGGCGCGATCTCGCATCCCTACCTACCTGTCAGACGTAGACCTGGGAAATAATTCCCGCTAAAGTAAACCTCCACGGACGAGGAAAATGCCAAAGAGAAGCGTGGGAAAGACCTCAAATAATTGATCCCTCATTGACAATTCAAAGGCGCTGAACAGGAGCGACGCGCGTCTCATCGGCCAATCTCGAGTGACCGACTTGGCTTAGTGCCTGATGTCAGATGTATCGGAAGTGAGAATCGAGGCGAGAGAGCCAGAGCGCTCTATCTATGAGGCAGAGTGAAAAACGCTCTACAGATCGGGGATATCTACGGAAAATTTCCAGAGGATCCAGCAATATAATATTGGCCTGCGATCATTCCCCAATGGAAGTTATGGGAACTCACAATCGCCCGCTTGTGTCCTTCCGGAGCTGTGGGATTGCGGTCGCGTTACGGGAGGGTCTCGTTGGTGCAAACACATCTTCAGCGTGAATTACAGGTCGGATGTGTGGAACGATTGGTCTCTTGTTGAAGCAATCCAATTTCTCGAAGAGCCTGGTCAAGCATTTCATATCCGCAGGCCTCGTATTTCGCGATTCGTAATTCCCACCACGACTGTCAATCGGATTCTATTATGCCCGCAGCTCGCCGGTAATGACAAGAACCGAAAACGTGCGTCTTCCGGCGTTGCTCTTTTCCTTGAACCAAGCCTCGTCAGATGCATCCGCGTGGAGCTCGCCCTCGAGACACTTGTCTATCGCGCAGAAGTCTAGGGAGCAGGGGAATCAAAACAGCTCTTCTTCGGCGTGCTCTAGGAATTGCCATAAGGTCTGAGCTGCGATATGGAAGCTTAGAGGCTTCTGTCACCTTGGTCAGGAAGTCTAGAGCGTAGAGTTGCCGGATACCCTTAAAAGGAAAGAATGCTCCGTGTCCTCCGATTCGATGCTGCGTCCGCTTACAACCAGATGGCGCTACGGTTCGTTGATTCCACTTTTTTCTCGGCTTGGCATAATCTCGTAAAATAGCATCGTGCCGCGCGGAACCTCGCGCAGATCAATCGCTCGAGACTTTCACGATGATTTACGTCTTGATGTGGCTGTAGACTATGACGACGCTTTGAGTGTGACGAATTAGAAGATGGAGCGAATCAAAGAATGCACGATTTCTTGTTCTGGAAGACAGCACGGGGAGCTCGGATGGAGAACGCTGCCAAATATCCCGCGAGGCATTGCTTCGCATTTCGCGAAAATGCGGAAAACACGATTCCCGCCGATGTTTCTCGCCTAGCAACGTTCCTGCCCCTTGCGGTCGATCAAGCAGACGCCAGCTATGCAGTCGGAGCAGAGCTCCTGAGAACAGTCGGGTAGAAGGGGTTCGGGTATAATGACCTCGACGCAGCAACCTCCCAGGTCACGGCCTCGGCGCCTCCCGAGATTTGGGTCGACGACCTCGTTTGGCCTCAACTGGGTCAGAGAGAGATCTCGGTCGAACGCGGTGCTGTGCCGCAGCACCGAGTAGGAACCGTTGAAGGGGCCAAGGACGTTTGATCCGAGGACACACGAAAGCGAAGAGGGTGTCCCGACCTGATCTGTTTCCCTCCACTCTGGTGGGAACACACGTTTCCGGTAGAATTCCGCGCCACTCTCTGCTTAACCTCCCTGAGTGATCTCAGCTCCGAGTAGGCACTCGAGAATCCGATCACATCATCCTTGATGGGTTCTGTCGCTCCGATGCGTGTTTCGAGCCCGGGCTTGGATGAAGACCACGGAGTTCCGAAGTTCGAGTATTCTCTGGATCTCTGGAATCTCGAGCAGCTGATCCATAATATAGAGCGTTTCATGTCGTCGCTGCTGCTTTAGTCGGCCGATTCCCGACTCCAGCGACCTCTTTCGTATAATTGGGAGCGTACGCGAATCGAGAGAGCGTCCGAGCATATCTTCGATCGAAGACGAATGCAGCTCGAGGAGGAGCTTCAAGGAGCTTCTCGGGTCGCCCGGTGTTGCTCGTCGTTACTTTTCTGTGTGCAAAACAAAAAACGAGAACATTCGAGGGAACAATTTGTTTGGCCATTACTCATTTCCGAGCAATGATTACAAGCACGGCTGTCTTGTTCATCTAACTGTCCGACTCGCATACTGATGACGATATCGAGCAGCCAGCTCTGGGTGGGGTAGCGATGACGTCCTTTTCGGCATCGACAACAATTCCGACGGCAAAGGTCCTCTCTGGTCATTCATAGGGTGGCAGGAATCGAGTAAGAGTGACAGAGAAATTTCGGAGAGAGCCGTAGAGTAGAATGACCGGATGATCAAGTCTCCCATGAGAGAGGTCCTAGTGAGAGGGAGACTCCGCGCTGGAATGCAAGGATCTACGCGACCGGAACTGAGAACTCTTAAGGCTGTTTGAATTATGAACCATTGTTGTCTGCGTGCGCTGGGTCCGATCATTATGTGGCCCGAGGAAGGAATTGGACGAACAGACAGAAAATCAGGCAAACATGATGACTGCGATGCTGATGGTGGTTGCGGCGCTGTTGTTGACGACGACGATGATAATGAAAGCACCAACACCTCGCATTGAATCGAAGTTCTAGCACGGCGAAGAGGCTTGTACATTGTCGAACACGTTCACTCTTAATTAATTGGGAGTCGTTAATTATACACTGCAATAGATCTGCAGATACAATGCGTCGATAGCAAAATCGCTCCCCCAGGCGTAAGGTCATTCTGGCGATCATGATGTAGCCAGCCCGCCTCGCTCCTCCCATCATTTACTTCATTCATAACATTTGCTTATCAATTCGATATGATTTGAACCTGCCACCAGA